TGTCATAAGGACTTTTTGGAGATCTTTAAATCATAGGGTCTTAAAAGGTGGAAGCAGCTTAACAACACAACCACATACACAATATGTAGACATGCAAAATTACACACACCTTCCTCAAGGTTGTGCGACATTCTTCTGTTTAGTTTTTGCATGTCTAAAGCAGCAGGCCTCTTGATACAGAGGATGAGTTTACAAAGAAATAACTGAGTGCACTTGCCAAAAAACCCACAAACCTCCTTCCCTTTGGGAAGAAAGATTTAGCAGTGAAAACTAATACACTATTTGTACACATGCTTCCTTTCATCATACACCAAGCCCCAAATGAGCTATTAAAATGTTATACATGTTCAACTATCCAGGTACATGAGAATTTCATATTACTGTACTGCCATAGAAACTTTTTTATAGAATTAAGAGGCAACTGGGGCATATTAACTTTCAGACAGGACTTAAGCACTCTCAGTTAGGTTAATGAGTTTTATAATTCACACTGAATCGTAAAATCCAATATTTTCCATTTCCTATAGGATTAACCAATTGTACTGTCTCTTTTCCTAAGCTTCTCATTTATGTTTTAGACTCATTCATCCACATACACTCACTGACCAACATTACAACTACAGTATAGTAAGAGCAGACAATTGAAAGCCTTAGATTTGCAATTTTTCCACTCATTGTGCAATTTCAAACCATGATTCCTAAAGTTTATTTAAATGAACCATAATTAATACTATTCATAGATCCATATTGCAAAAAAGTTAAACTCTGGTTAATAAAAACAAAAACTTCTGACTTCCTCTTCCTGGCCAAACAAAAGGAGGAATGAGGGAAGCATGGAAGCACTAAGCTTGTAGCTCATTCTTAATTGTGCTAAACCAAAATTTATGGTGACACGTGAACAGAGCTATTCAAACATAACATTGTTTTTGTATGTATGTATGTGATTTTGTAAAAAAAAAATGTTTTTTTTAACAAGCGCCAGCTAAAGATGCAAGACCACCAGTTTTCCATTCAGTTTGTTTAAACAATAATTTAGCATCCTGCCTCGGCAAACCATTATTAAGTCACTGTTTGATGAAAAAAGGGATGTGGTTGAGCTGTGGGTTAAACCGCAGAAGCCTCTGTGCAGCAAGGTTGGAAGACCAGTAGTCGTAAAATTGAATACATGTGATGGAGTGAGCTTCCATCGCTTGTCCCAGCTCCTGCCAACCTAGCAGTTCAAAAGCATGTAAATGCGAGTAGACGCCATCAAGACATGTGACCACGGAAACTGTCCAAGGACAAATGCCGGCTCTACTGCTTGGAAACAGGGATGAGCACTCCTCCCTAGAGTCGGATATGACAGGACTAAATGTTAAGGGGAACCTTTACTTTACCTTTACTTTGATGAAAAAAGTGAAATTAATTATACTGTATGAAAAATTCTTTCAATAAACCATAGTTAACTACAGTTTAGGGTTCAAGCATAAATCTGAACTATGATTAAGTGATAAAATAATCCAGAGGAGGAGGGGGAAAAACAAATGGGCTCAAAGCACATTTGAATAGTGCTAAACCATTTGTTTAGCATTAAAAGTCAGGTCATGATGTGGTAGTCATTACTATGCTCAAGACACTATTTGTACAGAAGTACCGATGCAGAACGATGGCCAATCTGTGATTTGAACCCTACATGGTAACCTTTTTTCTCAGGTACTCTCATCACACACATAAAAGAAGTCTATAACATGTAGTTATATGTACAGGTATAACTTTTGACCAATTCTCTGTACAAAAGCAGCAGAAATAAGGTGCACAATAGTTACTTGTTATGGAATCCATGTCTCTTCACTACACCACGAAGGCTAGGAGGTCCATTCACACTTTGCAACAGCAGTGATCCAGTAGGAGGAGGACAGGGAAATGGATGCCCCTACTGGCAGTCTGTCATGCTCCAACCCACAATTCACGGAAACCACACAGCCTCCCAATGAGCCTACCAGAGTCTCCTATGCAAGAAGCAGAGGAAGGACACTCCACATGTCACTCCCCAGAAAGCAGAATACAAATGGAGGCCTATGTGGTCATCTCAAGGACTGGAGGGTGACTTGTAAGAGAGTGGGAGGAGTTACTTTGCCCTTGGCATATGGCAGATATAAAGGCTGCCTTGCTGGGGGGGGGCAGGGAAAAGAGGAAGCAGTGTCAGATCCACCCTCAGGAGTGAAAGAGACCTGAGGAAGTAATACTTCTTCATACCTTATCTGCAGAGTTTTACCCACAATTTGGGGTTGAGAAGGGAGCATGAGGCATCATAGCCCATTTCACTGCAGCAATACGGTATGTACCTGTAGCAGAATTTAAATACTAAAAATTGGATTGTTTTGATAATTTAAATTTAAAAATCATTTAATTTAAATCATGATTTAAATCAACTTGATTTTTAAAAAGTCATTGATTTTACCATCCTGGCCTGTGTAACCAAGGATGGATAAGTCTTGAGTCTCCCAAGAAGAGTTGATTTGTACAAGATTGGGTAAGCTACACACAGCACTCCCAGAAGAATGGAATGTTAAATCACTTCTGAGTACTCCATACCTGGAAAATCCTGGAATGGATTACCATAAGTAAGAGTTGATTTGACAGCACATAACTATGACTGTTATAAGTAGTAATTGCTGGCTGGATAGCTCAGTGAGTGAGGTATTTGACTGCAGAGCCAGAAATTGGAAGTTTTATTCCTTACTCAGTCTCCTAGGAAAAGAGCCAACCTGTATAGCCTTGGGCAAGCTATACAGTCCCAGTTTGCTCCTAGAATAAGGAAACAGCAAGTTGAGTAATCTATGTTCCATCAATAATTATTATTAGGTAGTAAATACCTTCATTGACCGGACTGCTGAATAGTTTAGGTATCTAACTGCAGAACCAATGGTTAAGAATTCAATTTCCCACTGTATCTCTTGTGAGTCGAGCCAGCCTAGGTTGTCTGGGGCAACCTGCACAGTCCCAGGCCACCCCCAGAAGAAGTGAATGGTAAATCACTTCAGAGTATTTTCTACTGGAAGGCCCTGAAAAGGGTTTCTGTAAGTCAGAGTTGTCTGGATGGCACATGATTATATTATTTGTATATTTTAAATGCCCTCAGCTGTTGGCATGCTGGTTTGAAACCTGTAATCCAGAGGTGTAGATGAAAAATGGTTGCCTTGATCATGTCAGAGCTACACTTGCTGCAGAGATGATGAGATATACAACAAGCAAAAGACCACCAGCTATATGTGATTTTCTATTCCCAAGCAAGACCAACACAGTTTCTCCTCTTGAACTACAGTCTCTACGAAAGCGAATGAGATAAGGGAATTCCCCTCCACACTATATCATGGATCATGTCAGAGCTACAGTTGCTGCAGAGATGATCAGATATACACACAAGCAAAAGACCACCAGCTATATGTGACTTTCTATTCCCAAGCAAGACCAACACAGTTTCTCCTCTTGAACTACAGTCTCTAAGAAAGCGAATGAGATAAGGGAATTCCCCCCCCCCCAAACTATATCATGACGCATAGAAAGAGATAGTTATATATTCCTCCTGTAAGTTGAATAAGTCCAGCGAAAGCGAATGAGATAAGGGAATTCCCCTCCACACTATATCATGACGCATAGAAAGAGATAGCTACATATTCCTCCTGTAAGTTGAATAAGTCCAGGAAAAAGGGCAGGAGGTCCTATTATTCCTTATTCCCTATAGGAGTCTTGGGGATATTTTCCCCTGCTGTACTATAAGGTATACCTAAAGTAGATAGTTCTCGTCAAAGGAAGGAAGTATTGTATTGTTACTGGCACCTCAAGCTATACCTTTTCATATGCTGGAGAAGTGATCAGCCATGTAAAGACAGCAAGGGAGGCACTTCCAAACACTAAACACACCTGTCCACAGGCAATATTGGAGACCATACACAGATAATGCCAGAAGCCACCATATAATGTCCGCAGGTAGATCAATCTGTTTTTAGGGCCACATGTGCATGTTCCAGACTAAGAAAAAGACAAAACTGACAAAGTTGGCCCTTCTACAGTTTCTGCCAACCCACAGGCAAGTGTGATGTGAGAACAGCTGAAACACGAAACGTAGAAATGAGACCCACACACTGAGGCTCAGGATGGAGCCAGCAATTCCTATGCAATTATTATTCCTATGCTTTCCCCCTACAGACAGGCCCCGTATCTACTGAAGTAAAAGGCAGCCGTATATCTACATATAACCACAGATCTACACTTTCTCGCCTCCATGCTCTACCCCCCCTCAAGGTCCTTTCATAGGAATTTACTTCTGGGAAAGGGAGGCAGTGGGAAGGAGAGACTATCTGGCATATAGGAAAGCTGCCTTACACTCTCCCCTCCCCCCGCCAGCCCTATAAACCCACCCCATTCTGCGAGAGTTACAAGGACTAAAGCCCATCCTCAGGCGGGAAAGGGGAACGGCCCCCCCCGCCAGCCCTATAAGCCCACCCCATTCTGCGAGAGTTACAGGGACTGAAGCCCATCCTCAGGCGGGAAAGGGGAATGGTCTGAACTGTCGAGGAGAAAGACACACACACACAGACACACACACCAAGAAAAGGGGGGGGCATTTTGCACGACAGGCATCCGC